AATCGATCGGTGGTAACCTGTACTTGACGAGTGCGTTCATAAATAGCTTAAAAAAATGAAAGGGTGATAAACCAAGTCCATGAGAGTTAGTACTCATGTATAAGAATGTTGTTCTACATCGGAACAACCATAACTGTAAACTAATGTAAGCCTACTTGCGGAAACGCGACTTTCTCTTCTTTCGTTGCACGGCCGCATCTTTATTGGCAAACTGAGAATCTATTGCTCCAAAGAGCACTAGAGGATGAACAATTAATGCTCTCGGCGTTAATCAGTCTCTGGAAGATTTGTCATGCATTTTGCTTTATGAAGTATCTTCTGAGGTGAATCAAATGCATATCTGTAACTCTCTTTGGCCTACCGATGTATCAAGTCAGTCTCCCAAGCTTCCAGGCAAGTCTGATAGCAGTTCGCCGAACCCGGAGAGGTGAAAGAGTTGGTGAGCCTTGAGCGGTAGTTCGAACATCGACCACGTGTACGCTGCAGGGTGTCTTAAGCTTATGTGCCACATGCGCCCTTCATAAACAAATGAAGGAAAATTTGAGGTGAGTCAGCGCTTAACGGATGAAACATGCATTAACCATAACCAATTTGCACGCACATGAGTTCGAAACGAGGGCAAGCCGGATTGGGCCTAATTCATTATTGCGTCTACTGCATGTCAAACGACAGACTCATAAAGACCGCTGTTTTCCCAAAAAAAAATAACCCAAAACTTCTGCTTTTTCTATTGCTTTTCGGCTTCATAGTTTAATTTTCTTTCGCACTTTGCATTACACTTTCGCTACCATGCTGATTTTCCTCTTCGCAAACGACATGGTCGGCCTGCAAGTGGGTCGTGTTATGATCACAATCTTGCAGCTCTATAGTGAAATTCGGACTTATATCATCATTAATAGAGTTTATAGTCATTAGAGGAGGGAATGTCACTGAAATGATTTCAGTGTGGCTTTTGGTGGTAGAAACAAGCCAATGCTACTTATGGAACATTACAACAATAAATTGTTACTCACAGATTTCTCAATCTGTTTTCTAGGGTTCATTCTTATCTGCTTATGATAGCGTAATTTGGCAGCTTTTCAATCTCTGTAAACGATGATAAAACTCCTCTGACAGTCTTTGCTAGAGGTTATGTGAGGGTTCTCTTCGGTATGGTTGCACAGACTTTCAGGCCTATCTCCTATGCCAGAAAAGAAGTTTTCATGTAGAATGTTGGCAACCATTCCAAAGCTGAGATGTCATCGCACACGTGGTCTTTGGTTCGATTCATATTACTGACCCACAACCATTCCATCTCTCCGGGTTCGGTGAAGTGATACCAAACTTTGCATCTGGGAGGATAGCATCATTTGAGCAATGTTTTAGTGAGCCACGGCGCTTCATAGTAAAGGCAGTCATGCATTCAGTCACCTCAAACGAAGCTATAAATTGAATGCTAATGCATGAACACTTTTCAATGAATTGATCAATGCTAAAAGCATTATTCTTTGTGCTTTTAATGGACCGTTTTGATGGCTGCCATTCCGGCAGTTTTGTCTTCTTCAGAGCATTGAAGGGTCAAGTTGAATTACAATCTAGTCAGACAAGCACTTGCAAAGCCATTCTAAATATTACTTGATACGCAAACGTTAAATTTCTTCTAAGTGCTCATCATTTTATGGCAAACACCTACCGACACTAAATGTAGCTAATGCAACAAATATTCTTGCTGAAATGGCTCTAACAGTATCTACATAATGTGCGAAGTGATTTTCATGAGTCCATGTAATACTGGAGCGTACACTTACAAAGAAACAAGAGTTGTACCGATTGTAAATTCGATTTGAAATGCATGAGCTCTTATTGCCCAAGGTCGTGAATTGAGCAAATAGTATATCCCTTTGCGGACTGCCGTCATTTTTGGCTGGGTTGCGGCTCGGACGGCTACAAAGAGAGGTAGCCGGCATCTGCTCCAAGTCTAACGCTGTAGTTTTATAATGATTTTCTGTCAACAAATGAGATTTCTGCGCCTGCAAATAGTCAACTATAATAGACCAAATTTCAATAATGTTATTTTTGCTAGAAATAACTTGATTGCTCTATTCATTCCATAGGGAAAACCAAGTATCCATAAAAAGGCCGTATTTAGAAGCTTTATCGAACATTTATACAATATTTAATTTATACTTATCCACAAGTGAGTCAAATTTCTTTCAGTTTTCATATACATTATTGCATAAAGTGCATAAAATGTATCATATTGTCTGAAAACCGGAAAGCAATGGATAGTTCATCAAAAATAGTGCTGCTTATTACATTCGATCCCTTTTGATCGATAATTCTCTATATTTTTTTAATTATGAGTGCACTTCACATTCCTACTTCTTCGAAGAATGTCCAATTATGTTCGAATTCTTTATTCATAGCTATGGTATGCGAAGAAGGGAATGAAGTAAAGCGGTTCTTTCCCGTTATCTCCACCATTTCTGAGCCCTTTGGTAGAAAAGTACTTTTTACTTTTGTCAAACATCTTTCTGGTCTTCAAATAAAACAGAGTGTATTTAAAAAATGTGTTCTGTTGCTTAGAGGGCCTGTTTTCTTAGCTGTAACAGTAGAAAAAATTTTCATCACATGCAAGCATCTCTTTCCAGGTAAAGGTTTTTTCTTGAGCAATTAATAACCTAGAGATAAGACAAGTCAAAGAAATTCTAACGTTGCACCTAGCTTTTCATCAAGACTTCTCAAAGTGATGTAACAGTCAAGAGCTAATTTGGTTTCGAAAATATGGGCCATATTTGATGTCCACATTTTGTTTTGACTGGCCTCTGGCGGAAAACGAGTTTTATGATTTTTTCGGAGTTATAATAACCACTCGATAATTGATATCTCGGAAAATTTGATGGTATACTTCAATTCTAAGTTTGCCTCCTTAATGCGTTTCTAATAATAAAAATTGAAATATTTTTCACACTCAAACAATTCCCACTTAAGTTAGCTTTTTCGCTGGACTTTTGAAAATCTTCGATTACTTTAATCTCTACATTTTCCATAATAAATTTGTCTTTAAAAAGATCTCCTTATTGTACTGTAACAGTCAAAAGAAAATTACTTTTCGCAGTTAGTTGATGCGTTGACAAAGACACAGCGACTTGGGGTTAATGTCGCTATGTTAATTCAGGCATGCCATGTGGGCACACATTGGTCAATGTCTACCTCGTTCACAGAACTTTCTTTGGTCAAAACTATACCATTATTCACATTTTTCGTCGTAAATGTAGCCTGTAAGAAAAAGTCGAAAAGATGCAAAGTGGGCAAAGCCCGCTCTTCAAACACTGCAATTTGTATACAGAGATTGTTGATAAACATACGAAGCTCTATAAGAACAACTCTGCCGGCGTTGATCAATCTTTCAGGGTTGCGTCGTCTCTCATCCTCAATTTATAACTTCGTTTGAAGTGAATAAACACATTTATCAGGGCCTTCGCAGTGACTCGCGGTGGCCTTCCGCTGCATCAAGTCAGTGCTGCTTGTTCTCCGTAGACAAGTCTGAGACCAGTCTGGCACCAATTAATGGGCTTGGGAGTGATAGATATCTTGGTGAACCACGAGCGCGAGATCGAACCTTCGACGTTGCATGTGGCGCAGAGCACTCTAGCTACTGTGCCACATGTGCTTGCTGGCAAAAGTATGGTGTTTAAAATGCATGTATATGCATAATTACATCTCTGACATAAATTTTCTAGTGAGAGTGCTTTCATAACTCCGTCTATAGCTGAAAGGGGTAATGGCTGCTCTGTTGAGACGCTTTGAACCGCACTGCTAAATGAGTACTTTGTAAATACACAGTTTTTCAGGTTAAAATAGATCGCTAGGAAGAATATGAGGCGTGAAGACGGTAGTTCCAGCTACTCTCCCACCTTAATCACTTTTTTCTATAGACGTCACATGTCGCAACATGGCTGACAAGTCGTGGTTACACGAGCCTCTAATCGCCGATGGGTCTTGCCGCCACGATTATGGATCGATATTTGATGACGCGGCGCCATCCATGGACATTGTTGGCGGCCGCAGAGTATCGAGAAGCCCTCGTCACTCCCAGCCCGCTGCGCCTTCTGGTGAGTCACTCTTCTATTGAATATTATCGATCTACGCGCAGTCATGTGATTGAGATTTCTGGAGATTGCTTGGCTGCTGTCTTATTGTGTTCGAGACTTCTGATTTTTGCAATTGTCGAGCATGAATCTTTTCCTCCTTAAATCGTCTCTTTGCTGTCGATTCGTTGTCTGTACTTCGCATGAAACTCCTCCATTTTTTATTCATTTATGCAGAAACTCAACATGTTTCTTGCTAGTTTCTTGAGAACACAGCTTTAACGTTTGATAGACATTTTTTTTGGAGAAGAAAAGAATCTTCAGGCCCCTCTTGATTGGTTGATATATTGAATTTTGTGCACATAAGCCATAGAGTCCATAAAGTCGCTCTCCTTGAATGGGTTAACATGCAAAAATTGTTTGACAAACAAGTGCCAACAAAGAGTGGTGACAAAAGGAGGCGTCGATGGTGCAACGGGTTAGAGCACCCCTCCCTGATAGGGTGGTAGGAACGTGGATTCGACTCCCAGCTGACGCAAGAGTTTCGCACATCGCTCTCCATCATTGGGTATACTTATAACATCATACCACCTCTAAAAGCGGTTGAACAGAAAAATTTTCGTTTGATATTCTAAAAAAATGATTAGTTCCAAATTCACATACAGAAAAAGATGTCGATGAGACCCTATGACTGTGTTTTGTTTACATTGCGTTTTGCAAGGAATCTCTACTTGTGCTTAAATGTTCGCCAAGCGTATTGCTCAACCAAACGTAGATAGTTTCGATTCTTCTCACCATTTGTGGGTGGTAGTTTGCTCCCAAAAAAAAGTTGATGCATTCGCTCTAAAATTTCTAGTATTTTTACTCCATTTTTTGCGGTCTTATGATTTTTCAGATAAACCCATGAGCATCGAGGGGTGAGCAGAAGACAACCTCAGACGTGAATCGAACCCGCTTTTCATCCATACCTGGGACGCGTACTGCCACCACACCACCGAGGCATATTCGCGCCACCACTTAATTTCAAACATATCTATGATAGCTGTCAGCCACCAACCTTTAGCAGGTTTGCCGGGTATGTAATTTCGCTTTAGAAACCCAGCTGAGCTGACAGTCAGTGATGGTGGGAATGTAGCCCTGTGATGTAGTGGTAAGCACTTCTGTGGTGCATATGAATTGCGGGTTCGATTCCCGTCTGAGGTAGTATTTTGCTCATCACTCAGTTCTCTTAGGTATATATGAAACATCATGACACTGCGAAAGATGCTATAAAAAATGCTAGGAAAATGTCGAGTATTAGTTATTACAATGGTTGTCCGCTCAACTGGGTTTATAAGGCGAAATCGCATACACGACCATACCTGTTAAAGGTTTGTGGCTGACAGCTATCATAGAGATGGTGAAGAATGAGTGGTAGTGCGAATGTAGCTCGATGGCGTAGTGGAAGCACGCGTTCCCGATATGGATGAAACGCGGGCTCGACTCCCGCCCGAGGTCGTATTTTTGCATTCGCTTTGTATAAATGTGATATATTTTGGATGGCTGTGAAATTTTGAAGTGATAAAATGTGTTTGTGCTTATGAGAAGACCCAACCATTGTCATTTGCTTGCGTTAATCATTTCAGAGTCTTTTTACTTCTTCCCATTTGTTTTCTTAATCTTTGAGGGTCTCTTCGTAGGAGTTTTTCCGTCCAATTTATTAGCGGTGTCCTGTTGTCGCAATTCATATTTCATTCTTTGGAGCAAGGCATTTTCCTTTTCAAACTTCTAGTAATCATCCGAATAGCTCAGGTATCAGTCACTCCAATACTGTGTTTATTTCCTATATAAGAGTTTTTGTTGCCAGCGAAAACAAAACGGAGTCTCACACTCGGCGCAAGCTATCACGCGTTGTTTCCTTATCTATTTAAAAATCTTTTCTTCGTCTCCCTAGAAATATCCAGGTTTTCCACAATGTTCTTAAAAATGTTAAACAAATCTTGTTCTGTTATTCTACGTGCTTAGGTTTCGATTTTCATTTTAATGGGTGCTGATTATTATCTTCGCTCTTCGGCACCTTTGTCATATGAATTGTTGTTTATTCAGAGAAGTCAATTAATCATCAGATATGATAACCATCATGGTCAATGATTTTTGCTGGGCAGTGAGAAAAATGTCTTCTCCTTCGATATGTTGGGGGTGGCAGTCAAAGAAGTCGGAGAAGTCACAACTGAGTAGATTGTAGTCTTTAAATTCTTCTCCCATAGATGCCGCTTCGGATGCAGAAGAGATAATTTTTAATGGAGCAATATTAGATCCATGTGGTCGATGTGGCACCGTGGAGTAGCGCAGCTCTTTTCGAAATGTGGCGACTCGGCACCTATGCGACCGCATTTTCCAACATACATTTCTTCTCCAGGCAGCGTGAAATGGGTGGCGTCTTCTTGCCTCAGTTTGGCCGAGTACTTCGAAGCTTATTCATTTTGGTTGTATTGATAGAACTTTTATAGAGAATTTCCTATGCAAGTGCACGTGGGTTATAGGTGCAGATTGCTGCTTTGTCCTTTTCGATTTTGGCGACCCAGTTCGTTTCTGAGATTTTAGCAGCATCTTCGTGCTCGTTCTAGCCGACCCATGCCACACAGGTGACTTTTTCGGGGTCACGAAAGTGAGACCGCTTTTATTATTGCTTTTAACATTTTATGCACATTATAGAGCTTGCTGAGCTCTGAACGTGGAATACTCCCGCGTAGCTTGCCAGTCCCTCCTAAAACGACAGGTGGAGCTTATTTCTCGGAGTTATTTTCTAGCTGCTTCCCATATAATTTCCGGCAACTTGATTCCAGGCTTTTGGCCATTCTGATTTGAAAAGTAAAGTTTTGTCAAATCCACGATTAAGAATCATATGGAAGAAATCTCACCTGAAGTAAAGACTGTTAAACCTTTAGTAGTAAGTTTCGGAGGTTATTGGGGTTTATTATTATTATCTGATCAAATTATCGATGTTTGGCTTTTTCCTGTGTTGCCAGCTGTATGGAAATTGGATTCCTTCAGAACTTTTCGGTACTTTCTCATCGTTAGTGAGTGTTGCTTTTCTAAACAATGAAGTCACAGTAGAGAAAAGGTAATGATTATATCCGTTAAAACTAGACGATTGAAAATCACAATGCTTCGTTGATAACGATTTGAGTCACTCCCCCATATGTTTATCAGTTAATAAGGGACTCCTATCTTCCATGGCTTTTGAACCAAAAGTTAAGAAACAGGTACATAAAAGTTTCTAAGAAGTGACTCTAAGAAGATTAACGAAAATCCTGCTAACTCATGAAACCATGCAAGCTTTGCGAAGTCAAGCCAGCTCTAACGGAAAAACTTCAAGACCATCAGGTTGCTTATCACCAAAAATAGTTAACCCGTCTGAGACGACAATAGAAATTTCTTCATGCAACTGCAATCGCAACGCGAGCGCAATTTTTACTATGTAAATAGCATTTCTTTTCTTCCTCCGTCACTAAAAAATTTCTTGCGTTTTTCGTTTTGTTTTGAGAAATCACGGCTTACTTCACAAAGTCATGTGCTTTTGATGCATGTTTGGCTCTTTATGAGTGAGCAAGGCGCCAGCTTAGTAGGCAATCACGCTGTTTTTGGAATTCAAGCCAGTTTTCGCAAATTGTACGGAACATATTGCAGTATTTATTTTTGGGGTCTGAGTAGTTTTCATCACATATAATATCCAAAAGTTATCGCAGCTAATGCAAATGTGAAAACAATGGAGAATACAATACCAGTTCATCGAAAACTTTCCATAATTCAAATTAGTTTGCTTCAGGAGCTGAGATTTGTGTAGAGTTACATTGTTCTATGGTTGTAAGATTTTATTTTTTCATATAATCACTTAAGCTTACTACAAGCATTATTCATCGTTGAAGTCTTTGCCACTGCACATGCTGTTCATTGTGCTTGTTCGACGCATTTTATAGTCTATTGCACTCACAATTCCCTTTAAGTCCCTCAAGATCCAGCCAATCAAAATAACTTTGATTTGACCACGTGGAGGTATTGAAGCCGTCCATCAGTAAAACACAGACCTTGTTTCCTCTGCCTTCCACGCTAACGGGTATGTGGCTATGTAGTCTTAATGTGGAAGGAGACTACTTCGACTGTAGTTTGTCTTTTATCTGAGCTTAATAGGTGTACAGATGGATTTTTTCTATGCGTTTTGAAAACAGGACAAAACTTTTTTTGCAACCCACTTTATTGATATAACTCCCTCAAAGCAGTAAATGAAATCCGTTTTAAAAACCTAGAAATCTTCTACATTTCCAACTAATCATGTTGCTGAAAAGCCATCTTTGCTTCAACTGTTATAAATCATAACACAAAAACATTGCCTTTTTCAACAGAATAGTGGACGGCATGATACGACCCTCTAATAATATTCGGGCCTTTCTCAAAAATAACTAGTGTGCATCCATCTTAGAAAGAAAGGTGAGTAAATTCTTATACCTCACAAGCCTGACGCTGCCACCGATTCATTCCACTTATTACATCGAAGAGGTTCTAATAAAATAAGGGAATAAATCTGGAAAATTCCTTTACATCCCCCAAGTCCTATGCTAGTGAAATAACTTTGACGTAATCTCGAGCAGGTGTTTGTGACTTCCATCAGTAATATACAGACTTTGTCTGACCTGCCTTGCATGAGTATCCTTCTCCACGTTCAGCGCTTGCATGCATATACCTTGCTGAGTTTTACGATTTACTTATGGCTCATATACTAGATGAAATTGCTCAAAATCTCTGTGCAAAAAGCTAAAACGCACTCAGAATAACCACTAGGTACTATATTTTTCAATTGTTCGTTGTTGGTTCTCAACATTGGCTTTCTTCGAAGATATTCCTTCCCGAAGTAGTCAACTGACAAAATTGCGAGTTAATTTGACCTTCTTGATCTTTGATGAAAAGAACCCTTTGAAACTCTAGCCATTATGTATTTTATTGTGCCCAATCACATCAGGAGGACAATGGTAGAGGGTTATCGGTGAATGATCGTAGAAGGTGTCAATACCCAGAATCTTGCCCTACTCTTTGGTGACACGGAAAAGTGTGCAAGAAAACGAATAACCTAGGCAAAAGAAACTAGTCGACTCCGTATACTTTGCACATCCAATATGTGGAGGCTGATTGTAGAACGGAGGCGCAGTGGCCGAGTGGTTGTGATGCTCTTTGAGGCGCGCGCGTGGAGCCGGACCCCACAACCAACATTCTCCGGCGGCAAAAACGAATGCCCTATAGAATGCTACAGTCAGGCTATCTTCGGGACTGCTAGAAGACGCGCTTTGCTAGTGTTGTCAACGTTCAAGAAGAAAACGAAGAGACGAATTGAATGTTATGAGTACTCTTATGCTAGCAGTGAAAAAAAAAACTGGCGGTGACGTCAGACCATTAAAGTGTCAAAAAGTTATCATAGAACAATAAATTTATGGCGATCAGAATAATGATCACTGAAAAAAGACTCCAAACTTTTGCGGGATAAGCGGCAGGAATGCTCATTAAGAGTAGTGAACTGATCACTCCTCCCCACCCCCAAAATGTTGCTTTTATAGTGGAAAAACGAATTGATAGGATGCATGAAAGTTCTTTACCAAAAATTGCTCTAGGAATGTCATTTTAGTGATATTTCTTTTTATATGAAGCTAAAGTGCCTCTAACATTAGACTTTGCTATGTAACTGCCAACAAAACCCGTTCAAGCAGCGGACTTGTCTGCCTCGAAAGTAAAGCGTACATTTCTCCTCGTTGGTGCTTCGCACTTAGAAGGTCTTTCATACTGCCACGCCTACTACCAAAATTTCCACTTTTCAAGCTATCAAGAGACTACGGTTAGTGTAATAAAAGAGCCAGAAAGCACAACTTTCTGATTGTATAAATTAAAAATCCATCGCAGCAATCGTCAGTTGTTGACTGGTACTAATGTATGAGCAAAAGTAATTTGTAGATAATTGGCACTGATTGTATAAGCTTTTGATTATTGAATAGTTTTAGTGGAAATCTATAACATCGGTGAAAAATTCCAAAAATCTGAATTTGAAGAAGTGGCCCAACTTTGAAAAGGCACTCCACAAAATGAATGCAAACTTTATCAAGGCTTGCTCCGACTAAATATTGAAAAATCCTCCTTGCAATTACCCTATGAAACTCAGAGATTGTGAAAATGTGTTTTTAACTTAGATTCCTACAATTTCGCATAGAAATGTGAGGACAGAGTTGGAAATACATTGTTATATAAAGGACGTAGCTTTAGTATTCAGTAGGAACTTCCAGGATCAGTGGATATTCTTTTTAATGGGAGTGCGCTTGCAGAGATTCCTTCAAAGATGACATATCCTTCCATAGCGATAAAGCTTTCATAGAATCAAAATTTTCCTACATAATTGACAAGAAGCCTGGTATAAAGTTTGAAAAAAAGCTAATGTCGCCAAAAACAAGACATTGTGTTTTTTTCCACTGTAGAGCATGA